CAAGAACTTTCAAAGAAAATCTTGTTTTTAAAAGCAGACTAACTGGAGACAAGCTGAAAGAAAGAGATGGATATTGGCTGCTTAATTAGATAAAGCCAGTACCTTAATTTTAATGAACTTTCAGGAAATACAAGTGGCATTAAAGACCACAGCAATTTGCATCAACAAGTTCCTAATGGGTCTGATAGATAATATTGCCTTTAGCTAGAAAACATCTACAATAAGAGCTACTTAGCATTCCCCTTGTATAGAAACACATTCCAAACATTTCTGGCCAATTTATTTTAAATACTTTGTCTGTGTTTTCAAAATCTTCACACTTACACTGCAGAATGGGCAGGATTAATCAGTGCTGATAAGCCTAATTGAGGGCAGTTAGAGATGTGAACGTGAATATATAGAAAGCTGCCTTTTAATGATCCCTTTGTAATTATCAAAGGAGAGTTCCCATTACTTCTTGGCAAACTGAAACAAATCAAAGACTCTGCTTATTAACAACCTGTGCAGAAACCAAAGGTGTAAGCTGCTACCATATCTTATGGAGCAAAAGCTTAGCAATGAGAGGAAAATGCAGACCTTTGGAAATTTTGGAACAATATAAAAATGTATTTCAAAGCTATTAATAATTTTTCAAGCATGATCAGGAAAGATTTATAAGTTGGCGAGTTTATTGCAAAGGAACACCATTCCTGGACTTCAGCTGTAGAGGAAGAAAAATGTGTTTTGTTTCTACTGGTTAAACTCATCAGAACAAGCTGTATACTTCTGAACCTGCAAAATCTGCTGCAAGCTTCCTTAACTCATCATTTGGCCAGATGTCTATTAGTGACTAGACTGCAGATGGCAGCAAGGGGGGAGGGGGAGTGACAGTCATTTGCCATCTTCCCAGATGTTGGGAACAGGAGAGGACATTCCAGAGGACAAGAAGACATTCCCAATGGCCAATTCTCCCTTTCTCCTTCTGGCACAGCTGGTGCCACAGGTGTGCCTGGGCCATGGGCATTTCTAACATTGTCACAGCAATTTTCACTCAGCTATTAGGGAATTAGTTGGAAACTACAATTTGCTGTCATATTAAAGGTGGCCTGTGGAATCACTCCATGTCAAACAAGAGCTTTGGAACTGCATGTGGTCCCCACAGGCATGGAAGTAGACGGTGTAGATGGGGAATGGAAAGAGAAAATGAAGAAAAAATAGAAAAAGAAGAAAACATAATGGCTAGCCATGAAGAGTCTGGGAAATAAAATAACATGAGGGAATGAATAACTGTGAATGCTTGATGAATGTCAGCTGACACCACACTTGATAAGTATCTTAAAGAAAATGTCTTCTGTATAACGTGCCACTATGCATTAATGCTACCACGCTTTATTAGCTGCCAGTTTGGGGTCATTTCCTTTTGAAATGCTGCTCAGGTGTTATTCCTGAGCCTACATGGAAACTACCAGTGAGTGCTGCAGGGGCAGATGTGCCTCCTGAGCTCAGTTTTGGTGGATGCGCTGTGAGGTTCTCCACCCAGGTCCAAAAATGCTTTCATGTGGCGTCACTCACAGCTCATATAAGCTCAGAAAGCTTTCAGGTGTGAGTTTGAAAAGTTAACTTTAGAAAGTGACAGCTTGCCCTTTTCGTTATCACTCTAGACCTTATACAAATATCTCTCACCAGCTTTTTATTATTATTATTATTGTTATTTACACAGGTACATTTGGAAATGTTCATCAGCTCAATTTTAGTCTTCTGAAATGACTTTGTTGCAATGCCTATAAATGGCTATTGCAGATAGCTATGCATCATTTCAGGAATTAATTGCTTATTAAACTCTTGGTTTGGGGTGGAAATGTATGGAAGATTTCTGCAAAGGCTGATGTTTGTGATATTAGCTGACTGCTTACTGTTAGAAAATTGAGAGCAATTATTTCAAATTAGAATCCACTGAGCCAACTCTTGCATGCCCAGATACGCACCAAGTAACAGCTCTTAAAGGTCCACAAAGTGCATTTAACCATCACCGTGTTGTCGTGCCAGTACATAGAATGCACACAAGTTTCTACCTGTTCAAAGATACTCAGAAATATACTTTCTCTGAAAGGAGTATAAACAGTGTCTATCATTTGTCACTGTGCATGAAGCAGGAGAAAAAAAAAAAAAAAAAAAAAAAAAAAAAGCATGCATTTATTGATAACAAAAAGCTTTATTTGTTATTAGGTACACAAATTGGAACTTGAAAAAAAAACAAAAAACAAAAAACAAACAAAAAAAAACAAAAAACAAAAAAAAACAAAGATTTAATTCAGCCACAAATGGTTAACTTTGGAGAATTAATGTAATTCTTGAGTCTTGGGCAAGGAATAAGACCCTGAACTGAAAGACTAGGTCTGCATGGAGGATACAACCCTGCAAAGAACTTCCCGAAGAAGTACAGCCTGTTGTCTTGCTCCCCAGTGGTCAGGCACTGCTGCAGTTGCTCCCTTTGCTGCCAACACCAGCACACCTGGGTGCGAGCAGTAGTGGCTTCTGAGGACATGCAGGGCTTCTGCATCTCACAGCACAGCGTTTCCTTGGCAATGTCTCGGGACTCTCTCTCTAGAGCTTTTTTTTGATAAACAGCGATAAATAAATATAGTTTTGCATGTCAGTGAATTGGTGATGTATTTCAACACCTACATCACTTCTTATTAGACCTACTCATTCTCAGTGCTTGTTTATCCTGGTGGAAATCTAATAAAAGACTTTCTCATTCTTTTTAATATCTTCTGTAACAATTACTGTCTATCCGCCCTTGGTGATTATTTCGCATATTCTCATACATGGTCCAAATATTACCTTTCAGAGCTGGATATTTAGAGGCAGTTCAGGATATAAATTGTATAGGTAATGTAGCTCTTTTAATTGCATATTTTTCTGAATTTAGATTAAGCTAAATAATGGGATGTCATCCATTTCAAATTCAAATTAGGGTAACTTATTCCACCAACAAGTGAACTTTGTCTTCATAATCTAGCTCAGCAAGTAAGCATGATGTAACATAGAAAGTAGTAACTGAGAGTGCTTTAACTAATGAATACACCATAAGAAATGCAGCTCCATGTTTGACAGCTAGACCACTGAATTTTTATTTTTATTAATTGGGAGACCCTTACAATAACCTCTGTTAATCAGTGCCTAAGCAGCTCACAGCACACTGTCAAGAGAACCCTTACAAATGAGAATGCTGCACTCCCCTGTAAAGATATGAATGTGAAAGTGTGTTGTAGTCCAGTATTGGTTGAATTTTGCAGAATTAAAACCAGGCCACAACATTTTCAGTGCACAATGTGAATTTAGAGAATTTCATAACAAGTTTCTGTTCCACATAGCAATGTTTCCTCCTTTCTCATAGTAAATTTTATAAAGGCAATTGTACCAAGAACAATTTGGGGTATTTGGAAAATCTCATTTTATGAAATACATGTAAAAAAGATGTGTTCCATCCAATCCAATATTCATTTTGTAGAATTGCAGTCCCCCATTTCCTTTATCACTCTTTAACAGGCTGCCAGGAATGGGAATCTGAGTGCTCCTGTCCTTGAGCAATTTTAATTGAAGATGCTCTGAAGGGGTGAACTGTGCTGACACATACTCTGCATCGGGGTCCTCTCCGGTCACTGGCAATTACAATTCCCTCTGAAATGTTCTGTAACACTCTCCATCCAAGCATGTTAAACCACTTTGCACATATCATATACTGACTAACTAATGAGGGCATCTTCAGAGATTTGTAAATATGATCTTCAGGTTATCGTTCAGGAAACTGAGGCACAGAGAAGTGAAACCCCTGCAGAGAGGACCCAGCTTACCATCACATGATAATGAGGAAGGAGCTCAGGTGTCCAGCTCCCACCACAGCTGTGTTCATACAAGACAGCAACCTATTCCTTACCACAGCAACACATCATCAGCATCATTTTACTACTACTTTTTTTTTTTTCTTTCCTTAAAAAAGGCTGTATTACGGAGGTTTGAATGTCATCATGATAAAAATTTGTTTAAACACTGTTGAATGTTTGACAAATCCACAAAACGAAGGAAATTCAGACTTAAGGCTGAAAATCCAGACTGACACTCCAGCCTTACCAAAACTGCTACAAACCTCCTTGCTTTTGTGCTTGAAAGACAGACCTCTTACTTTAGTAAATGCTGTTTTTTGTAGTTAAATTATAGTAACAAGTGCTCCAGTTTCACTAAACCCCACTACCTACAAGATTTGGATTACTCAGATGTAACCTAAATCCTTTCTGCTGGTGGTGTGTTCATTTGAAGATAAGTAACAGGGTAAGTAGGCTAATATTGGATCGGAATCTCCTATGGATAATTCAGCACATCTCTAATTTTATTGCAACTATTTCTCTAGTTAAATTTAGATGAAAGAGGAAGACGTTTATTTCCTGCCTGCTTGTTGCTTCCCCCTCCTCCACAAGGTATTGAGAATTCTGTTGTATAAACTCATACATGCAGAGAAGTTACAAGTGGCAACCACAGCACCGTATTAATTTCCACCATATTTCCAGTGAATTTGATTATCCTATGGATGATACTGGCCCACAATAATTAAGGTACCAGTACTGTAACTTAAGCTTGGTCCTCAAACTCACCTTGCTGCAGATACGGATCCAAAACATATTATTTGTTTACTGTGATTTTAATAATGTTTTGAACATTCAGATCCTACAAACATCAGTCTTCAAGTGGAGAAAGCTCAACTCCAGCCTTTTCTGGCAGTGGAAAATTGCTCACTATATTCACACACAACCAACCCTATAAGACAGCACCTGAACTAGCCATGAAATTTATCACATTAGTAGACTTTAAGGCATCTAGAATTTTTCCATGAGAAAAGAAGAGGTCCCATTTTTGCGCCTTCTGGAAGTTTTAAAATACTGAGCTTTTCCTCTTAACTCCTCTGCCTTTGATTTCTAGAAAAAGAAAAAAAAAAAGGAGAAAAAAAAGACAGATTGTTTCTCTTGATGAGAGTGAATAAAGAGGGTGCTGCTATATCCTTTTCCCTTTTGGTTTCATCCAGCAATATGAACAGAATATAGGGAGGGAAAAAAAAAAAAAAAAAGGAAGGTTTGAGTAGGTCTGAGATGGAAAAGAGGCATAGGAATTGTGAACAAACAGTTCACCCACTATATAGCTTTCTGGCTAGAGCTTTATTGGTTTGAACCTTCCCTTTGGCACAGATCTTACCAGAGTTTGTGAATATTTGTCACCTACATTTTCTAGGGAAAAAGACCAGTGGGGGGTGAAGGCTGACAACACAGATGAAAATACTGGAACAACTTTAAAGCACAATAAAAGCCTTACAATGCAGCAGATGAATTAGGAAAAAAATTGTGCGTACTAGCCTATCCTAACAAAATATAAATTAGAAAGGACTCATAGTGAGGATTTATGTCTGTCAACATGGAACTTAATGAAAAGCAAATCTTGCTTTATGTAAGACTCCTTAATGCTGGAAACCAAATCCCCGGCTTGGTTACAAGAGTGTAAATACAAACTAACTCCACTGTGCTTGATGATCCTGTGGTGGATTTCCAGTTTGCTCTTGAGTCCAATAATTTATAGTAGAGGTGGATCCAGCTGTCAGTTAGCAATTTGCCTAGAACGAGAACAATATGTTCACATAAGCATAAAGATGTCCTAAACTTACATATTGCCACTCAGCTATTATTCATTAATGCTTTCCTCAATGATATTCATTTATAAGTCTAGCACCTTACTTTTTATGCTTGAGGCATTTGCCTACAAAGTCATTTTAATATTCAAGCTACAAAGGTGTTTGCTGTCTTTGACTCAGTTGACATTTACTTCCGAGAAACTGAACTAAAGTGGCTGGTAATTTCTATAAGAGGTGTTGGCATTAATTTTCTTGCTGTTATGCCTTGTTGCTCCAGAAGATGTTTGTAGATGCCAACATTGCCTAATTTTTTCCACTTTTACTTATGTTTGACAGGTTACTTATTGCTTATTGACTGTAGGAGGTTTATTGTGCAATTTTGCTTCCTCAGCCTTAGTATTCCAGAAAAAAAGACTTTATTTGTCTCATGACAGGATGTTTATCTGACACTAAGTCCTTTTGTTACAAGTAAAACTTTCAAATAAATTATTATAACCTCCACTACTTAACTATTAGCAACCTGTGTACACTTTCATTTCTGATTATATAGAAAGAAGAAAATGTGATAATTTGCTGAGTGCCACAGAACTGTCTAAATAATGTTGTAGCCTTCTTATTTCTTATTCCTGTACTCTCAGACGAGGGAAATTACATATCGTTCATAGAAAAAAAATCTATACTCATGAGTGTGAGGATTAACAAGATATATTTTATACTTGTATTACATATTTAAAACAGAAAATGATGAGTACCTTATGGCAAGTATATTTTCTAAGGTCATAGTCTGGCAGCTGAACAAGAAATAAAATTATAATGATTGGAGACAAACAGTAATTGCAAAGACAAATATTCATAAATGTGTTAAGATCGAGCTAAAGGCTTGGGTCAGTAATTATCTTTGCTTAATATTGTTCAGTGTTAATACCCTGTTGTATTACTCATATAGACAGATATTAACACACAATTCCTTTCAGATTTATGGATCCAGACTATAAACAGAGCTGCTTCATCTGACTCGAGAGAAACTTACTTTTTGGAAGTCTGACCATGGTCTGTTTGAATAAAATGGCACGATGTGGAAAAGTTGGGAAAGACCTGATATCTTCATGATGTTTTTCTTCTTTAAACTCCCACTTCACATCTTTTGATTCTTGCCAATAACTAGCACCGAATATCTTACAGAGGAATCATCTACAGAAGGAAAAAAAATAATCTGAAAAGTCATTTCAGCCAAAACACTCTATCCCTTTCATGAGAATGATTTGGAGGTTTATATCCACAACCCTGATAATCTCATTATCTCAATGGCCATACTGGTCTCAAGCCTTCCTGTACAAAAGTCACAGTATATTTTGGAAATTATTCTTTCTGCCAAGCCACCTTTGCAAGCACACATTTCATTTTTTGCTGTAAGAAGCAACTGAAGAAGCTCAGGCCTAGCCAAGGTTGTGTTTTGCCTCAGTTTGAGGAGAGTGGAGCTTGCCCAGCTCTGGAAATGCCAAAGGAATTTGTATAAAGACTGTAAAGCGCAAGCAAAACTGGGACATGATAATACCATACCTTTGTGATCTTAAAACTGTGGCTGTGTGCATGTAGATAGGGAATATAGGCACTGCCCCTGAAGAGAGTCAGTTTTGTTTTTAATGCCCAGCATTAGCAGACAAAAATAGAAAGTAGATAACGTTGGATCATCTGAAAACACTCCCAGATGCATGCTTTTGGCAGGTAATTGCATTTTCTTGCAACATGATAAAGAAAATCAATGAATTGAATACAGAAAGTGTGAAATGAGTATCTGTGTCTTAGTATTCACAAGAAAGTCAGCAGAATCTTGGTCAGCAGAACCTATTCATGTCTTGTCAACATACAGGCTGCATGCCTCTCTAGGGAGGGGAAAAATGCCATCCAAAATTGAAATATGCAATAAAATTATGAGAGTCCCATAATCTGTTCATCTCTTTCCGAAATTCAGTTTACACACATACTATACTTTGAAAAACAGAAGAGAGCAGAAGAATAAGTTGCTGATTTGAAAAGGCAGAGAAACGAGTTCTACAATTGCAAAAGATGAGGTTGATATGGATATAGAGTCTTGACTTCATGAACTTCAGATTTTTTCAAACACTTATCCTAATCCAAGCATCCATCACCTGACTCCACATCAGCTGGGCCACTGGAACAAAAGTCCTCCATTTGTGCAGTCACAGTCCAGTCCAGCGCGGTGGTTTAGAGACATCACGGGGTTGCACACTCACCACTTGCACACAGGCTCCCCGGTGCCAAGACGTACTTACCAGCTTCCCAGCTGCAACTGCTGCTGAGCCCCTCTGCTAGGAAGGTACTTCTTGGTTCACAGTGATATTGTGTAATAAGGGAGTTTACTTGGCTATCGGCAGCATTTTTGTGATGGGTTTTGGGTTTTCTTCTGTGCTGATAAAAATGGAATTAGCAGGTATTAGCAACTAAATTAGTTAGTAGGCATTAACAACAAAAGGAGTTGTTCAGGCTCACTGAAGCAGACATAATTCTAGTTACAGGTAAAAGATTTTTTTCTTCAATACATTGTTTATTTGCCTTACTTTTTATGTATTATCTCTTAAGAAATTAATTCCTCTTAACCACAGCCCAGCGAACTTTGAAAGTCTATTTGCCACTGCCTTAGACTATTGCTCGTGGAGAAGAAACCCTTGCTATCTTCTCATTTACTCTCAGACAATGTGTCTGTAATCCCCAGAGGGTTTCTAATTCAACCTCAAGAACAGCATAATTTCAAATGTCTCTAGAGAAAATGGAGTTACAGAACACCAGCTGCAGAAAAGTATATGTTCAGGCTCTTCACACCTGTGTAATTAGTGCTCTGCTGAATTCGTTACAAATTATGAAAAACAATGATCTTATATATCACAGGATGTGGCAATGGCAGTTTCTTACATTAGCATAGAACGTATTTTTCACCAAAACTTTATTTTGATCTTATATTTATTTGTTTAAATGTTCTCACCAGATAAACCAGTGTTCAAACAGTCCCTGTTTGGAACACAAAAACACATGGAACACCTCTTAAATTCAAGACTATAGGTAGATTAACTTACTTGGTTGCAGTATTTCTTCAAGCCTTCTATAGAATATAACATTAATGAAAGTGAGACCACCTTAAAATTAAATGAACTGTCATGCAACTGTAAACTGGGAATGACTAGTTCAGATTTTTCCTTCAAGCTTTTAAGCATCCCTACTAATAGCTAAAACATTTCTGAAACAGTTTGACCTTTAAATTCTATTTGAAAAATGTTTCTTTTCTTTTGGGAAACTGCCTCCACTGAATCATTTCCAAGCCTCTAGGCAACTTTCAGTATCAAATAGAGAGTTGTTACAACTATTTCTAAGATAATTTTAGAAGTGAACAATGAGAGAAAATTAGTCTTAATGTCCAAAAAGAATGGTAAAAAATATACAGAAACTGTCTTTGTAATGTCTATTTCATAATCCAAATATAAGTAATTTGATACAGACCTCCAGCTTTGTATGATTTCTGTTATGGAAACTAACATATTTCAATAGTAAGGTCTTTTTAGTTCCGAGCCCTAACTAATTGGGTTATGAACCCCCAGAGAGACTATTAATTTTATTTTATTTTATTTTTTCTGGTATTTGCATTTCAGCTACGGTACTCGTGGAAATATTTGTCTAAGCTAGCTGAGAATAATGATTAAAATAGACAGAATGTTCATGAATGTTCATCATCTATATATGTCTCATAAGACAAACAGAGATTAAATGTCAAATTTTAATATGTGTTTTCTTTGCAGCACAGTACCTTTGATACAAACTAATAAAATTATATGACAATTCAGTGAATTATTATAATAGCAAATTGATAAATTTATTATTTGCTACTCTTAAACAGGTAACAATGAAAATTTGAGCTGCTGTCAGAGTTAATGAGATTTCTATAACTAGGTCTGGCTATGGTGAAAGTGGACTCTATTAAATGAGTAACAGTCTAGAAGCTTGCTATGCAAAATGCCATCTTATGTCACTTGAATCGACATACATGTACTTTGAAGATAAAGAATGCATTTTTGCAGTTTCATGTTTGAACGCTACAGTTTGGAGCGCTGTACATATGTGTAATGGATAACTTCAATTACCTGGTTGTGATCTGAAACACTAATAACAATGACAACTCGAACCTGGTAGACTGGAATATCTAAATTGGAGAGAACCATCAAAAAAGTTTGCCTCAACAAAAGTGGACAAATAAAATAATAAATAAATGAATAAACAAGTGAATAAGTAGCATTACGAAGCAAAGCACGCTGACAGAAAAAGTTTTTTTTTTTTTTTTTTTAAAGAAAACAAAAGAGCCAGCACCATTTAATGGACAGAGACCTTAAATGTCTGTGAGGAACATCAGATGATGAGCCAAGCCATATTCACATGTGACTTCTCTGTTCTTAAGCAGAGTCAACACTGGAAATTAAACTCTAGGATTTGTTAAATTGTTCAAATACACAGGCCCATTGGAATTTGCCTGAATAACTTCTCAACAGGTAATTTCATTATCCGAATGTCTGTATTAGATTTTATCACGTAACATGATATACACATGCTTTCTATTCATTTTAGACCAGTTTTGAATATTGTTTATATTTACCTATTTTGGTGTATTCAGTTTGCTTCAGCTCTTGCTTCCATGGATGAAATTATGAATAAGCTATTAAAAATATGATCAGAAACTGTCTTTATCACACATTCATCCAATAAAGGTTCCTCACTGTGGCAATTTCCAGTCTCTACACAGAAATTTTTTGAGAATGTTACTCTGTTCCAGGTGTTTACTAATTTTAAATAAATTTAGTATCTGTTTAATAAAGCAAAACCAGCAATATCCAATGACAGCCTTGGTTGATCTAAAAGACAGACCTCCGTAAACCTTGTTAGCTTCTCTCCTAGGAAATCTAGGAGTTGGCACCCGCTCTAGGAGCAGCTGTTCTCACAAGTCTTACAGATGGCTGCAGAAAAGGAAATCAAATCCCCGCTGCACTCAGACCTTTAATGAAAACTGTAGAAAATCCTGAACCAGTTGAAATCATCTCCAGGACCAGACTTGCCTTTTGTACAGACACGAAGCCTCAAAGAGGGGCCGGATCCTGCACGTGCCAGCTGAGCGCCTCACCAGGTGCACCCTGACTGCGGGAGCACTGCCGAGACCGACCCTCCTGGGAGCCATAGCACTCATCTCGCCATCACACCTGTGTATAACAGCAACAGCTATATAAATGTTTCATATCTCTACATCAGCATGAAAATATATAGATAAAACACTACCTATATGTTTATATAAAAACTATTCTACGAGTTATATAGAAAGAGCTATTCCCACTACTCTGAGCATACACAGGGAGCTTAAATGACTAAAAATAGGAGACCTAACAAGGAACGCTGGTTTAAAAAAAGAACAGTAAAATGCTTTGATGATGTAGCAGCATGTTGGGTAGATAAGCGCAAGCCTGAAACACTGTTGAAAGTTAAATGATGTTAAGGGCAGTGTGGCACGTGGAAGTTTTGCAGTGGAATTTTCAGTGGCATAATGCAAGAGATGTTGGTCTCATAATATCATCAAGGTCTGAAAGCATTTTGCATGCACTATAACTTCAGAAAGAGGCTGATTTATAGGGTCTCTGTGATGTATCTGAATGTCAAAAATACATAATTTATGAATTCATCTGTTTAGAGATCTATTCTTTTCCAGATTATGTATACTAAAATGACTATATTCCATGTAATTCTGCTCAATTTCTAGCAGATTACTCATTTGAAAAGAGCTGAGAAAATAAGTGTTTGCTATTCGTTTTGCACACAGAACAGATGTCTACAATGTGCTTTTGCACATCCTAACATGAAAATTTGGATTTGTCATCAATGATTGATCATCTCAGTGCTGCTCTCCAAATATGCCTTTGTTACTTCTGCTTGTTGCCTTTTTTTTTTTTAAATAGTGGCCTTGAAACTTTTAAACCTTTATCAGGTGAACTAATTAGTGTAATGGTGCATGCCACAAGAAAAAAAAAAAAAAAAAAAAAAAAAAAAAACAGTTCTTGCAGGAGTTCAGATGAAAAAATGAAAACTCAGCCTCAGACATCATAGGATCATAGGCCCCTTGCCTGTCTGCTTGACACTAATATAAACCCTAAAAAATTATACAGTGGGATGAGAAATGTAGTAGATAAAGGTAGAAGCATAAATAAAATATGAATGCTAAACAGACACAGTTATTATACCATGAGAGAATAATAGTATATAAGAAAGTGCTCAGGCAAGGAGAAAGCTGCATTACCACATCCACTTCAGTGCTGAGGGGGAGGAACACATCCTGCTGCCCTGCCTCAGAGGGTCTCTTCGTGCCTTAAAGCCACTGTCAGAGGAAAAAAGTCATTTCACCCCTTCCCTATTAACACCTGGGACTGGCTAGCTGAGCCATGAATCACAGCATGGTAGCAGGAGGTAGATTTCTGATATGGGTTTCTAAGCCCATGTGCCTAACACCCATATTATGTTATTTTTTTCTAGAAATATTGTGCTGTGTTTTTCTTACAAATTGTCTATAATAGTCAAGAGAAAAAAAAAAAAAGTCTTTTTTGATCTTTTTACCCATCTTACACATCCTTTTAAAGCTTCTTACTACCTTGTCTAAATTCTTCCTGAATCTCCATTATGCTCCTGTTGGGAAAGTGCATATTCAAGTAGTAATATTTGGATTTGTTTTTTTTTTTTTTTTTTAAGTAATGTTTGTGGGTTTAGTGCTGAATCTATGAAAAAGAAGATCCTACATTTAAATCTGAGAAGTATCTCGCTGAACTGGCACAATGTATGTTTTTCTTTAAGCAGCTATAGCATACGGTTACCTAAAACAACCATTGTAAATCACAGTCCCCAGCAGGGAACACAATCGTTACTTTATGCTCTGAAAATGGATTAAAATACACAAACACAGCTGAATTTTAAAGGGTTGGTCAACATGATATTGGGCTCAGAGTCAAATTGGCTCCTAAAGCAGACAACTCAGGTTCTTTTTATCTTCAGAGAATTTATGTGCACATAATACCATTAGAGGATCCTATATCCAACACCCAGCCCCATGGAAATGCAGAATTCTCTTGTTTCAATCCAACACACTTGATTATTTCAAAATTTCACCAGGGAAAGTGGAGATTGTTTTGTAAACCAAAGAATGCATTACCTCGTTTCCCATTACAAGCACCCAACAGCAAGGAGTTTTCCTGCAGTTTAAGCAGGAGTCGTACATTTGCCCAAGGCAAATCCAGGCAGCTGTGTATCAGTGAAGCTCCTGGCACTCCTCTGCTGGGTCCCAGGCTTTCTTGCAGTGTCCGGTCACAAGACCTCAGCACAGCCAAGGGATAAATCATTGCCTATGCTTAAGGCAAGGCTATAGCCATCTCACTGCTACTGCTCACTAGAAAAATATGGGCAAGAGATTAAATACAACCTCTTCTTTATTTTTGTCATTAGTAGACAACTCTCTTTTTTTCTTATGCTTACAAGTTTTCTTCTTCTAGGTATTAAATAACATAGTTAATACAGAACTTCAGATTTCCATTGGAAACTATTTAAACACCTCCCGTATGCCAGTATTGCTTACACAAATGATATTCAGATACTCAGAAGTATTCTACTTCTGTACAGACTTCTTGAAGTAGTGGCATATACAAATGTATTTAATTGAGCCTTTACAAGATCATTAAACTGTCTTACAATTATCAGTTTGTGGATGTTGCTTTGGTTGCATGCTTTTTTTTTTCCCCCCAGTAATTTGCATAATCATAATAAATATATGTGGAATTGTTTGAGCCAAAGTACTGTCCTCAGTTATAAAGAGCATGTTACTGCCATCTGGGTGCAGGAGATATATTGCAAGGTATGCCAGTAGTTTTTATAGAAAGCCTAACATATGGAGGATTTTTTTTTTTTTCCTGTGTGCACCCACTGCAGATATTTCATCCAGTTGTTGCTTACAGGGTTAAATCAGCAATAAACTTGGTGATAAACACTACACCTCTCATCTTCAGGAATTAGAAATGAAAGAAGGACATTAAGCAATGTAGAGTGCTTGTATCAAATTTTGCATTATTCAATCAAACTGGCAATTGGAGAGGTGCACTGTAGGGTTTAAAGCTAATAGGCCTGAGTGGAAGAGGAAAACAATCTTATTACTGGAAGGTCCCATCATATTTTGCCCACTTACCTTATTCCTCTCTTGGAAATGAGACGAGAATTTGTTACATTTTGACAAATAAATGCTCTTCATTGTTTAAAGCAATACTTTCCTTACAAAAATGGGCCGTGTTTGTCTGTACAATGCAATTTCACATTTCATTTCTTATCGTAAAGTTTCATATACATGTATATATTTGCATACATATAAATGTGCTAAAATTATACAGAAACAAATTTAATGACTGCTCATAAAAAAAAAAAAAAAAAAAAAAAAGACCATAACAGATCTTATTACAAAACAAAGGTGGTAATGTCTCAGATGGAATAGCCTATCTAGCCAAGTGGCTGATAGATATCAATGAAAAAAATGGAAAATAACCTTATCATGAAGCTTTCATACAATAGTCTTCCAGCCTCTGGCAGCTTGTGGGTCAGACTCCCTGAAAAAGCTATATCTAATAGCAACAGGCAGGTGTTACTGATTACAAGTCAAAAAAAAAAAAAAGATTTTTGTTGATGAGGCTTTTAGTTTGTATGGGTAATTTACCTATATACAATTTATTTATTTATTTTAAAGAAATGTGCACAGAAAAAAATATCAGGGTAGAATTTAGGCTAAACGCCATCTCAAAGTATGAAGCAATAGCTCAGGTGAAGCAGAAAAGTTTTCACCTGGGCAGACTGAAACAACCTGAGATATTCGAAGGCAACTACAACCTCCCTGATTCTGCATAAAAGCTGCTGTTGGGTAGGGTCAAGGCACACATAACAGCAGGGTTCCCTTCCACAGAATTTACTGCCCTTTTACTGCTGTGAGCACTTTCTATGCCCAAGGAGCTTAAACCCAGTGGGACTTGGCATTATTTCTTTGAAATTTCTCCCTCTGCATTTACAGACATAAGGCACTATCAGTGGCCAGAAAGATCTGTGTCAGGGTCCTGTTATAATTTTTGTATTATGATAGTTATTGTGCAACTATTTTTAGTTTCAAATCCGTCACAGTCATTCACCTGCAAGAAGAAAATGGTCTAAACATAGTACAACCTAGATAGTTTAAAAACTGCCCATTTTTGAGTTATTTGAGTCCCTAAAATAACCTCTTTCAAATATAAAATAGAATGTATTTTCCATATTCTGAAGATAGTAAGAAACCAGCTGAACCAAATTTGTAGACCTTTCCCAAAAGTTCATTTATGAACTAAAGAATGAGATGCTACATAATACAAGGATCATTTTTAAAGTTACCTGAAAGTGCAGAAGGAGATATAGAACATCAGAACTTCTGCTGACTTTTAAAAAGCCATGATGATATTTCCTCTGACAGAAAAGACAGCAAGTTTGTAGTTTGGACTATATAGGACACCAATTTGTCTCCCAGATTATTCTAAAGTACAAAAATAAGCCTGGGAATTACATTTTATTTGTGACACAAAAACGAATGTTTCCATGTAAGCAGAACCTTCGCAGTTCATTTTTAATAATGAATGCATTGCACTTGAGGGCAAAACACTTCTCACACAAATTTGGAAACTATAAATTGTCTCCATGGTTTCCCCAGGAAACCACTCTGAGTCTGATCTCTCTGGGCAAGTTTAGTAGAGGAGTGTGTGGTGCCAACGCTTTGTTTCTGGCACGGATAAAGAACTTCTCACATAAATTATCATTTAGAAAAGATTGCCATAAAAATCAAATCAAGAGACTTGCAAGGACCTCCCAGGTCTCAAACAACACCCGTAACAGCAGTATCAGTACCAAATGAGGTTCTTGCACCCTCGGCAGCTCCCAGGTCTCAGAAGTTAAAGCAACCAGCTGAGGGGCTCAGCCACCCAAGAGCCCCCTTAGGGCACCCGACAAATAGCACAGGTGAGGAACCTGCCAAGGAAATTGTCCCTGATACGAACAGGAACATTTTGTGCAGATCAAGGGATAATGAACACCACAAGGCAATCTTTGCTCTTCCAAAAACCTCCCTTAGATCGTTCAAACCCATAAAGAGCAGCATGGCTTCATCTGACCTCATAAAAGAAAAGTCTTTTCTTTCAAGGTTGTCAGCATATTCCCATCCCACTGTTTATGCCTGCTAGGGCTCTATAATCACGGTTTGAACTCCACGGTCCATCTCTCTGCTTTCTTCTCTTTGCATAGCTCTGAAATTCTCCTTACTGCTAAATATTTTGGACAGCAGCATCTCCTCTGTCTATGAGATATTCATTTAAGGGTGGGAGAGTAGTAGAGAGGCTTACAGAGAGAGATTTCCACATGACATCCTCCCCAAATGCCAAGGGCCTGATCTGTGGTGGAACATGACATTTTAATAAATCCTATAAAAATTCCCTTGACATTCTGATCGGTGTTATAGTGACACAGAAGAAACACGTAACATCTGGAGATGAAAGTTAGATCGCAGCCCTAATTTTATAGCAATAGAAAATAAACTTTCCTGATGATAATAATATTCTTAGACTTACTGATGCATGCATTTAAAAATGTAAAAATGTTTCAGATCAATTAAAATATTATTACTGCTTACAGCAACCCTTCTTTTGTTCCTTCAGACATTTTGTGTGGGTGTTGTATGCACAAGAGTGAATCTGCTGGCCAGTTCTGTCCATCCACTGGTGTGGTCCTGCACAGGTGCCTGTCCAGCCCTCTCAGCTGGCTGCATTTTCCTGCTGAAATTGCTCTTTAAGGCTTTCACATTCTCACATTCTTTTTTTCCTCCTCCAAGAATTTGTTTCCAGTACTTTCTGCTAATTCCCTCTCTCAAATGGCCCCGCATTGACAGCCCTTGCACCCCTCTTCCTCTCCCATCCTTCCCTTCCCACCAGAAATACACACTTGGAAGGAGCTCAGGTCTTGTTTTGATCCTCTCTTGCTGATAATACCCAGGTCCAACTTACTTTTTTAATGTCCTTGTTCACTAGCTCCTTCCTCTTGGGAGAAGGTTCAACCCTGGGATCCTCCTCCTCAGGCGCTGTATTTATCATCACCACTGAAATGACCGGGCTGGCTAGGGACAGAACTAGTGATTGTAGAGTATCACACTTTGTGTTTTTTTTTGGCTCGTCTCCCGTTATCCAACGCCCAGACACAGTCACTCTCCCCCTTCCTTCCCTGCAGCACTGACAGTACCCTAGTCCTCTTAAGGGACTGAAGCCTGTGACCTGCAAGCTCTGGTTTATTTTGAATTCCCACACCCAGCTACGTACATTAAGCTGTAATGGAAATCTGGAATGAGACTGTTCCTGATACAGCCCTCTACTGAAGAACTCGAATATAGCCCTTTACTCAGAGAACCTGTTTCATCTTGTCATCTTGAACTCTAGCTTTTTTTTTCTTTTTTTTTTAAACAAGTGCCACGATTCTCTGGCAGGTGCCATGCTTGGTTATTGTTGCCAGAGGAAGTGAGACTGTTCCCTTCCCTATCTCATATTGCACTGTCAAAGAGAATTTATCAGCATTTGTCTTGCAAGAACTTATTTTTTTCAGGTGTTGCCACACTGCCAGCATCAGATTTCTAGCAATAAAGCCAAAAGAATCTGTGAAACTGAGGACATTCTTCACATTATTCCTAATTTGCCAGTCAGCACTTTGCAAAACCTCGATTATTCTGTATATGCACTACATGGCTACTTTAACACAAAATAATTTTGTTATGAATTTAATACTATTTGAAAGCGTGACTTTTGAAATGATGTGTAACACAACTCTGCAATTCATACAGCAAGTTTAAAATAATTACCAGTCATTAGCCAAAGGCAGATTTGTCTACCTTATGCTTTTTAGTTTAGACTTGAGTTGCATACATACAGGTAGAACAGGTGATGTATGTGCATATACATAGACACATACAGCAGGACGACAGAACCGTAGTATAGACAGAAGCTTATTGGAAGAGAGTCAGAACTGAAATATCAAGTATTGAGTATTGTATCTAAATCAGATTTTGCACATTGCTCTGAGTGTGGAGCTTTCTGTGCCATCAGGAAGGTGAAAATAATATTTTGGTAGATTCTTGCCTTACTCAGAAGCACAAAATACTACATGACACCTAATTCCCTTTGAGGTTTTTACAGTGTGTACTGACTGAATATTTTGATGTAGTTAAATGGCTTTTTAGGGATTTCTAGGGGTTTTAATTCACTGCAACTGTCCACAGTGATTTTCCCCTCACAATGCAATATCCTCCACAACAGCTCCTGTCTGAAGTTGTTTTAAGGACAACTGTGTAGCTGATATTTTTCTTACTGAGTCTTGCAAGACAGATCTTGTGTCTGACAAATAGAGCAACTACCCTAGAAGCAATGCATAGAAAGATATAGGTAACAAATCTGTATTCACATTTGCTTTCCTATGTAACACCTACTTACCTACTTTAAAATATTTTATGCATAGGGCAGTTACAACAAGCAAATGAGATGCTATAGTATGGGATTAATAATAAGAATGATTTTACTCTTATGTATTATTGAACTAGCTGGACAGCAGGTCAAATACTGCCAAAAACGTATTTGCTAAAGAATTTATCTAGTGAAACGTTTACTAGCTGTAATCAATTCATAAATCTATGTAGAACAAATTATTTGCTTGTTTAGAAGAAAAATAAAATAAAATGCAGGTTACAAAGAGAGCTTGAGAATTAGCTTTCATGTCATATTTTGTAGCAAATTGACAATAATTAAATATCTCCTCTAACTTATGGCAACTCATAAGAGTCCCAAGATAACGGCAATAGAAGTTTGGAAAGATACCCAGTTGAACCATGACACTAAGGGGAACAAGAAAAGGATGTGTCATGTTCTCTTTCTCTTCTGACAGCCTACACAAATTTTGGTTATTATTTTACTCAGAGAGGTGCTGTATTGATCAAGACTGTGTTTTCTCTAGTTCTCTATCACCTGGCCAAGTCTGTTATCTAAAGGTGGAGCAGCTTTCCATCACTGTTGACTTTTTCATGGACACATATTTTTTATTTTGTAATTCCTTACTAACACAAGTTATCTTCTCTCTTGAATTCAGTATTTAAGACTTCAATAATTCACCAAAATCCTACAGCTATATTCTAACATATAGGCATGGAAAACATTCATAAAAATTACGAAAAGCAAGCTAGCTGTTCCTCTCGACATACCGCACCCTTCCTGTCTCCTAAACCAAACAATTCACTTCTCACAACTAGCTGTTATCCCTATACTGAGGGTGGAGGCTCAAGTTTATTCCCTTGTCTATCAATCATGATTTCCACAGACACACTTGGACTTAGCAATTTGTGCTCTTTGGAGTCAAGGGCTGTAGTAATCACTGAACAAAAACCTTCCTTAAAAAGGAAAAAAAAAAAAAAGGTTATTTCTGTAGAACACAAGAAAGTCACAGCAGATGTATCATAAAAACTATTCAGCAAACTATTCACATACCTAGTTTAGGAGGTATTTATGCAGGGAAACCATTTAAATTTAATGTCCTGTAGATTCTTCACATAACAGCTTCTAAATTTGGTTCATTGCTGGAGCTGGCAGCCCTGACGTGGGCTGCCAAGTCTCTTGGTTACTTTACTTTCTGAAAAAGAAGAGCATTATTTTAACCTGTCTTGTATCTTCTAGTTCTAGCCAAACCAAATGTTAAAAGTGAGACAGAAAAAACACTCAACACAATCTTATGCTAACATGATCTTCCACAATGTACAGTGTTCTTCAGAGTCATTGTTTCTTGACAATATTCCTACTTCGGATTCATTTTAATTGTAGTTACATTATTAATTGCAATTATAGGGGATGGTAAACTACAGCAATATCATCCTAAATAAATCCTTCACACTATGCATAAATTTATACATGTGTGTGTGTGTGTATATATGTATAAATAAATTACGCTGGGATTTACCAGGAGTTCAGAAATACTTTACCTAATTTAGTTCAAATCCAATAGGAATAAGACTTAATCCTTCAAAACTAATGCCAAAAGCTGGTGTCTGTTATGGTTTTGGACACGTTATAGAAAGGAACAAAATCACAACTATAATACAATTTCAAATGTAACAACCATGGAATTATTGCTAATGCTTCACGGTACTTACCAAGCCTGAACAAAGGCAAATGCATTAATTTCCACAACTGTAATTTACGGCACTAGAATCAACAGCTTTACAGTAAGGATTTTGTAGTTTTTCCTACTGCATATTAATGATTTCTACAAAATCACTTTTCTTCATTATAGTGGCTCAATTTTTGCTGCTCCAGAAGTTGTCTCCAGAGATGCTTCAAGGAAGAGCCATGGGGAGGAGGGAAAAGATTGTCCCTTTCATTAGCAGTCTACATTTAAGCTAATTCCCTTGACTCATCTATTTGCTTCTCTTTTAGGCAATCAGTCCTTTGCTGTCAATGCCAGCATGCTGCTGGTCAATGGCAAATACTTCAAGATTCATTAGAAGGATCTAGCTGATTAACTTGTGAGGCTTTGCAAGGAAGAAAAATAGCACTTTTTTCCTTTTAGGTTTCATCACCTTTAATGGAAATACTTTATTTCAGAATCTGAAATCTATACGTTTACAAGAAATTCAAAGTACGATGCTTTCCTTGTGATTTCCTAAAAGGATAAGAATACACACGAGTATTTCTCTGTCCATGGCATCATAATCATTTGACTCTCATCTCTCCCATTCTCAGTATGAAAACGCTTCACAAATGAACGGCAAGCAGATGGCATATCATTTTCTCAACTGGAGATCCTTGGATTTGATTTGTCACTCATAGAATGCTGGCAGAAAATAAATTTTGTGCCCCAGTGAATAGTTTGCATAGTTTGTTTATTCTCTGATAGTATTTAAAAGCTATGGGTAAACATAATAAGGGCTTATATCACATAGATCATATTTTTTTTCTCTCCTCCTCTGCCCCCCCCCCCCCCCTTTTTTTTTTTTTTTGAAATTATAAGCATTGCAGTCACAGATAACTTCACTGCTTTGATTTTGCTGCCTCTGAGCTGCATTTTGGTGCATTGCTCCAGTCTGTTTGCAATATCACTGTTAGCCGCATCCAAGCATCTCCCTCTACTGGGTGCCCCCGCTCACACAGCCCACCCCCTAAGACACCCTTTCCCAGACTAAGACTATCCAGCAGAATGAGTACATCCAGAAAACATGCAGTCCACCATTTCTATTTAGTGGATTTATTTACCAAGAGGCAGCTGGACACCAGGCCATGTCCGCCTGACCAGAATGTATGGCAGAGTTCAGGGTACATTTGATTGGTCACCCCAGTATTAATCTCGATAAGCATACACATGAGGGTTGGCTTTACATTACCATGCACCTCAAACACAACTAAACATGCCTATTAACCAACACAAGTTTTCTTAATTCCTTCAATATTTAGTAAAGTTTGGCTCATCACCTATGCTATTGCCATGGCAGCTGATGAGGTAGGTGTCGTACTCACAGCGTTCATGTGGGACACACAGTCCCACATGACAGACACATCATCAAGGTGGTTTGGAGACAAACCTACAACCTGCAAACAGAGATGATGCTCTGAGAGATGGTGCCTTTGTTGCATAAGTTCTCAGGTGCTGCCTAGAAGATCAATAGAAATATATCCAGTTTGATAGCACTATTTCTTATTTCAAACACTACTTCAGGATACACTTTTATTTTATTTTTTTAATTCAACTTTTCATTTTATTAAGCTTTTATGCACAACCTGTTGCAACCTTATCAACAGACTGCAGTTTGACAATCCCATTTTCCTGAGTTATGCAAGTAACTACCAGCGATGTTACAGTGATTCCATGTGATATATGGGTCAATGCCTCCCATTTTCAGTACACAACTGCCCATCTATCAACAGCTTGAATGATCTGTTTGTAAAATAACTAATGCACAGGGAGATTTATCTAAAATACTTAGTATATTGTAAGATGAGAAATTTAGAAGCCATTATTCCTGCTGAAGACACCAGAAACGCTAACTCACAGCCTTCACAAGGTGGAACTATTTTCTGTCAGCGTTACATATTTTGTGTCATTCAAAGCATCCTAGGACATTTAAAAAAAAAAAATGGTTTTGTAAGGAGCTTCTCAAGTAGCACTAACTTGTTTTATTTTTTTTCTTTTTGGGGGGGAGGGGGGTTGGGGTATGAGAATGCTTCTTTTTCCAGATTGTTCTACTATCTCCAACACAGCAAACAGATTAGTGGGTTCATTGTCAGAAGTACTCTACTCTAAGCAAAAACTTTCCAAAGCCTTGATACAGTATTAATCAGTTATCCAGGCTTTGCTGCTATCAGAGCAGATGTCTAAAGCACAAAATCCATGTAGGGAGCCCTTAGAAGTTTGTATTGTTTCTACCGCCTAAGGGGTAGATATTTAAATTTTCTTAATATTGAGCCAACTCAGTTCTTATCACAGTTACACAAAGCCATCACATAATTCAATAGAAAAATTGTCTGAATCTAATTAATCCCATAAAATGACAAATTATAATATTTTTTAAAAATCTATACTTAGTAGATAGCCAAATGGCTACAAACCACATTACGCTGAATGAATCAGATACCATCTGTGATAGAAAGCCTGCTGAATAATACAGTCTAGATGCAAAGCATATTGAACAGAACAAAACATACCATATAACAGATTTATAGTCTTAATCCACACAGAAAATCTGCTAAAATAGATCAGCTCTGTCACATAACACTGCTTTCATCTAGTGTCCAGGAGCACAGTACCACTTTGACTCATTTAGCAGATCAGTTATATGCTATTCCTGATTTCATGCAGTGATGATTAAGGATGAAAAATACCACAGACAGTTGGCAACTGCAATAAATCAAAAAGCTTTGCTCAATTTTACTTAACATATTTGTATCAGAATTTTAAAAAATATGATTGAATTAGTGATGTACAATAATTGTTTTCTGGGAAGAGTCTACTACGATAACTTCAGGTCTTCAGATTTCATAAGCATTTTAAAACATGAATGTAAATTAAGCTTCAATAGGTTGTTATGAACTCACTGTCAGGAGATGTTCCATATATACTAAAATTAGTTGCTATTGAGACTTTTGTTTGTTGAGAAAAGGCCAAAATTGTAAGCCAAGTAATGGTGAGATGAACTATATTAATCAAATGAGATTTGGCACAATTACCTAAGCCACTTAAGGTATATTATATATTCTGTTCCAGCCTTTGCACCATAGACTCTCATCAGATACAGTAAACATCTGCTGGTTTGAGGATGATAGACTATATTTTCTAAATTTATAGTGCTTGGATAGCAATTTCAAAGACCTGACTTTGAGTTTAAATCAAAGCTTCAGCTGCCCCCCAAAACTGAACACATAAAACCATCCTAATGAGTGCTACCAGTATTATTGTCTGTCAGATCATGACAAATACTTCCTACTAAACTGTGCAACAGCTAGATGTTGAACAGTAAGGCAGTATTAGCCAGTTTCAAGTTTTCTTTTGTCTGCCATATGCCATAAAACAGGAAAAAAGCAAAGGTTATTCTGAATTCAAGTTGAATCTGTTGATTAGCTGTCCTCTTATGCGAGCAAAGAAGCAGAGATGTGGGTATGTAGTAAACAGGCTATATAGTCCCTGCATATAGCTGCCAACACCATTACTGCACCCTGAATTCACTCCACAGTGCACTCTTAAAAGATGCTCCCTGGTTCAGATTACTTGCATCACATCAGCCCCAATAATAGCCTGGAATAAAATATACATCACAGCATTTGTCCATGGTATCAGAAGTTTCTAGTGGCAAACAAACTGCAATATTTACAATAGTTTTCAAAAGTGGATCTTGGGAAACCTTCTGTCTTAGTACTTAATCTGATCATTTCAGAAACTATAAAATCAGAAGCCTCCAAGGTCTCATGCCTGTGTAGTTTCATTTATTTAAAAATTAATCACAGACTGAAGGAAAGAACAGTAGTCCATTCCCACAAGAACTGACTTAAATTCTGCTGCCTTGAATTTACTTTGTTGTAGTCTTTCCTTTTAATAAAGTGCTCCCAGTGATTTAAGTGTGACTGGTGGTAGTAAGAGAGATTTATTATTATTATTTTACTGTTATCAAATTAAAGGGTATTTGGGGACAGAAAAGGTCTTTCTTATATAGTTGTCATACTTGAGTTTTCATTTTTATGTGTGTTTATTTAGAAAACACATTCAAAGGAAACATAATAATATAAACTCTAAAATATTTTAATTTAATAAATGTTCTCCCCAAGCCATTAATAACAAACCCTGTAAATAATAAAGCTGTGCTAGCACATCATTAAACTTGCTTGCACTTTTTTTCTTGTTCCACCTCTGCACTTTGCTTTTTTTCCACTGGTGAATTCCCTGAATGAAGAAATATCCTTCTGCTGCCTTTGTGCATGGAATCATTGGTTCCAACTGAAATATTTCAGAGATCTCACATGCAAATATAAAAGTGTGCTATGTGTACTTGTTCCTGTGTTTGGGCTAAATCCACTAAGTTTTAATGTCTGTATGGCTCAGAAGTGAATCAATGTGTAACCCTGACTTCCTATGCATATACCATAGAAATT